TAATAGTTCATTTAGACGTCACACTCGCCTTTACTCCTTTAATTTTTTTGATCTCCGTTGTTTCAGCATTATTTATATTAGAGATTTCTATTGAATACATTTTAGCTCTGAGCCCAATAAATTCTTTTATTATATTCCCCCTGCATTCATCTTGCATCATACCTAATTTTTTGTTGTTTATCAATGGTAATTTAAAAACATTATCTTTATCATATTCTGAAGTATCGAAATGCTGATCAATTTCAAAACGAATGTCATCATAAAAATCTATAGTCTTAATATCATAGATAAAAGAATCAGTATCCATATACATTAAATTGATATTTTCTTGATATTTGGGCTTCATATAGTCATAGTGAAAATTGTACATTTTAAATTTTGATAATTCTAGAACGGTGAAGCCAATATAGATAGGCTTATCAAAGAGAACATGCACTTTTTTCATTTGAATTGCAAGCAAATCATCGGCTAATTGTAATATATTCCTAAAATTAAATTTTGAGATAAGTGCCCTAGCTCCCAATTTTTTACCATCACTCTCCCATCTGGACACTAATTTAATAACTTTTCTCTTGTCAACATTCTCTATAGTCTTGCCATAGACTGCATTGTTTAGCAGTTTGAAAAATTATTTTCAAAATCATTAACAGCCAATGTTCTGCGATGATTATTGCAATCAATATATTTCTTAAGCCAATCAGATTGATCAAATTGTAATATTCGATGAATATTCTTTAAAATCAGTCCATGCCGAAGACATTGTTGTAAATTTCTATAGTGAATTATATAATTATATTTGTTTGTCAAGTCTGCAATCAATCTTGATTATTGCATATTTTCATTTTTTTTGTTTTGCGAACAAAATGGTAGGTCATTGTGCTGGCTGTGTAAGTTTTCAGTGTATTCCAAATCTACCTCTAAAATATAACCAATTGATTGATCATCTACGCACGTGTTTAATTCAAAATTTTCAAAATTTCCCTCTTCTGTTTTTTCTAGCCATTTAAAATTTTTATGTGGAATAGCTTGTGACATAGCATAGCCATATAAATTATTAACATCTAAGTATACAATATAATTTGATTCTTTCTCACAGTCGTAATCGTTGTTTAGATATTTGTTATTTGCAATAGAATGACGTTTACTACATTGAACAAGACCGCCTCTAATACCTTTCATTATAAAATTATACATATCAATATCTGTGAGTAGTTCTAATTCAATTTTAGTTGTCTTGAACATAGCATCCCATGATAGACCAGGAGTTGTATAATATTGACAAGGATCTAAATTATAGATTTTATTACATACTTTTCTAAAATTCTCAAAGACATCACATAGCAACAACACATCTACCTTCAAACATAACAACAAATAATCTACTAAATTTGTGCACTCGAAGGCATTCCAAACGTTTTGAGCGTGCTGATAACTCTCTTCAGAACAGTGTCTATCAGTTAATTGATTATAAAAATTTTCGCGCGACGGTAATTGTGTATCTGACAAGCGTTCAAATGAATTTAAATAGCTATACGGAAATATGCTTTTACTTTTAACCATTTGAAATTTGTTGGAGTCCGTGAAAAATGACTTTATTGTGGTAAGATTTTCTTTTAAATAACTGGCTAAGCTGTCTAAACTGGAAGGCATAAATCTAAATGAATCTAAAAATCGAAGTTCTAGAATTTCATTGGGATTTATATAAATTTTCTTTGAGATCGATATATAAAACTCTTTGTTTAGTGGAATTATAGAAATTTCACCAGGAATTTTAAGTAATTCTTTCATAAATAAATGGGCATCGTATGCCGAGAGATTATGGAAAAATATTGGGAAAAATTTTGGTAATTTATAGTTTAAATTGCAATTATTATGAGCTACACCTCTATATTTGCCTGTTAAGTGACAATGATCTAGAACTGTTTTAGATTGATCAGTGAATAAATTACCGCATATACTACAATTTGGTTCTAAGTCAATTATTTGTTGTTGCTCCATTGATAGCGGATATAACGGTATCGTTACATTTAAGTGATTTTGATATAACATTAAACAATCGTTATATATGCTCTCAACAAAATGTGCTGCACAATCTTCACCATAATATATTCGATATATATCCAAACTAGTGTCAAATGAACACTTTATATAATAACTACATGCATACGGTATATGCTTTTGAATTAAATTTATGTTATCCGAAGTTTTCAGATCCATCCGTTCTAAAACACACTCAAAATCAGCATATGCTACAAAAGGAACATCTAATTGATTTTTAAAATTTTTAAATCTTAAAATCGCCATCTCAGTTATAATTCTATTACACTCCATAATGTGTCGTTCCAGTTTGTCGCTATCGTCGAAGTGTTGAAAACAGTCATTGCATAGAAGAATCTTCCTAGTACTTTTCGTTATTTGTTTGCGAAGTAATCTAATGGAGAAGCAAAGAAATATATATAATTTTTTTTTTTCATTTTCTAATTTAATACTTACTTGGAAATATTTTTAATCCAAACATAGTGATATTTGTCATCCTTCTCGAGAAGTAGTAGATATATAGTGTGTAAGACGTTGCTAGTTTTATTATTAGTTAAATAATATGGACCGATGATTGTCTTTTCATCGCTGTCTACACCCAACACAGTTATACTAATTTCAGGATTATTTTCTTCAAATATTTTTATGCTGTCGACCGGTGTGGGAAATTTTAACCCACTAAAGTTTGCGATAAATACTTATATTAAAATAAAAAAAATACTTGTGTTAGGTGATAACAATATATAAACAATGTTTCACGATAACAATATATATATAACCTTCAAACGAGAGTTTGAGGGGAAGTGAGCGCAATCGCAGAGCAGAGTATTCTCAAACGAGAGTGCGAGGGACAAGTGGGATGGGAAGTGGGAGGGGAAGTGAGCGCGATCGGAGCAGAATATTCCACAACATTCCAGAACATTCCCGACCAGCAGCAACAACTACGACTTCCGCTAGCGATAAGCGCCCGCACAACAAAAACAATTCTGATCCAGAACATACAATTAAAATTGATCCAACATACATATTCATCCTACTCGTGGGACGAGAAGGAAGCCTTAAACTTCTAATTTACATAAATAAAAACATTCGTTGAACATTTAATTTATTTTTATTTTAATTTCTTTGTGCACCAGCAGACTTCTTTTTTAAATTGCTCCAATTGATTTGTTTTCCGTTTGGCAACCAGCCCAGCTGCTTGAAAGTAAGACCATGCCACATCTATTGCGTGTGAACTTTGAAAACTTCGGTCACACTACAAAGAATAAGATTTTGCGACTAGTGTAACTCTTAGCCGATCTGAGTACTAGGCTTTAACAAAAACCCCGCCAAAACGTGGTCGATTAAGCAACCTGGCGGATCGAAATTGAATTTTTCACTTTTAACAAATTTCAAAATTAGTTTGTCAGTCGATAGCTAAATAATTACTTAGCATATCGATAACAACCAAATCGATAGTTGTTATCACAACATGCAGCTCACAAAATGGTTTTTTTTAGAGACCGTGTCAGTCTGCAAGCGTAGTCTTTTTTCAGTATGGCGCAGCGAAAATGATTCTCGAAAAAGATGTTCAGCCCTGGAGAACTATATTTATTCAAATGCTATTGAAAAATCGAAATGCACTGAGGAGGAGCATTGCTTAATAGCTGAAAGCATTCAAAATTTTTGCAAAAGGCTTTCTGTAATGTGGAAAGAATGCCATAGAGTTTGGAAAATATTCAATCAGAAATACAAAGTTTGGTTTGACGAAGACTTAGTCTTTTTAAAACAAAATACTCACACAGGTTCAGGTCGAAAGAACATTTTGCAGACGTCAGGTAACCAAAGTTTCGGAGCTAGTGAATGGGAACACATGCAATGAACTCATGACAGCGACACGCGTCAGTTTGTGCAAAGCTGGAAAACGGAGCGCTTCACAAATAGCTTCAATGGCAGTCACTGATTCCACAGCGTCTTCAAAAATCAAAAAGAGTCTTGAATCAGATCGACAGGTCCCAATTAAGTACACTCCAGACGAAGCTTTGGCCCTTTATATTGATGGAGACTTGACCAAGCACTCCTATAAACTTTTGCAAGCTAGTGCAAAAGAGAGAAACTGTAACATCTACCCAGCATACGATGTTTTACTATCTGCCAAAAAAAATGAGGCCCACCCGGATATATTCTGGCAAATATCTGATGAAAACAAATATGAAAGTTTGACTGTCTTTTACAAATGGGGATGCGATGGGAGTTCGGGACACTCAACCTACCGGCAGAGCTTTACCAATTCTGATCACAATATGGTAGACCAACATTTATTTGCTATTTGTATTGTGCCACTACAATTACGACGGGCAGGCAGCATACTCTGGAAAAATCCCCGGCCATCATCAACACGGTATTGTAGACCACTCAAAGTAATGTTTGCAAAGGAGTCTGAACCTTTAGTTCGCGCCGAAATGGAAAATATTAAATCTCAAATTCTGAAAATTGAGCCCACCCGTCCCAGCTGTTTTCAAGTTCAACACAATTTGCAGCTTACAATGATCGATGGCAAAGTATTCAGCGTGATTGCAGAGTGTTCTTCGCAAGCATGCGGCATATGTAAGGCCACGCCCAAAATGATGAATGACTTAGATCTCGTTGCGAGTTTGCCGAAATGCGAAGACTTATATGAATTTGGAATATCGACTTTACATGCCTGGATTTGCTGTTTTGAGTGCACGTTACATTTGGGATATCGACTTCCAATCAAAAAGTGGCAGGTCCGCAGATCCAAGAAATAGAGCTATAGAACAATCGATGGTGGGACCATTGATGGTTTTCGATTGTTTTAGAAAAACAATCGATGGACTATTGATGGTTTAAAAAAAAAAATAAATAAAAAAAAACGCCAAAAATTTATATTTTGAGATCAAAATTCTTATTAATAAATAACAACTGGTCTATAGTTTTGGACTTCAGCGCGCATCGGTCTGAAATTATTTGTCCTGCCTTAATAAAAGTCCTTTCGAAGGAACAGGAGGATGCTGGGACGCACAGATATTCTTTAGCGAGGGCCTTGAAGGCTTGAAAATCATCATTGGTCATCTGAAAAAGACTTTTTTGGTTAATCTGTACAAATAGTTATACATGTCTAATACTAACCTTCCAGTGTAGTAAAGGGTCCTTGCTTTCATCATCGTTTTTTGCTCAAAGTACTGCCGCATTAGTATTATTGAGTCTGCCCTGTTTAATGTAACTTTATTAGACAGTTTACATTGTAGGTAGAGATAAAAGCTTGGTTCTGGTGGTGCTGGAGCTGTGGAACTAGCATTCGAATTCATAGACAATATTTCGTAGAGCTTCAACTCCAAAGCCTTAGCAGCTTGTTCAGCATTCAATGGTAGAAAAAAGCCTTCCTTTTTGAAGCGTGGATCTAGCAGTGTCGCAATTCTAGGGACAGTTCGTGATTCATAATGATAAAATCGTTCTTTGATACGAATTTTGATCAAGTCATGAGCATCCTGAGCCGCTTTCGAAGAGCACTTTATTAAATTCATTTTTTGATACAACTCGGCAATTATTGGTATATTTAGTGATACAGTGACAGTTTTATTCGCTGAGGCTTGTTTGCTTGCATCATTAAACGGCGACATTATTGCGCACAGTTCTTTTAAAATCTCAATTTCTTCAATTGAAAATGGCTGTGGGGCCTTTGCTGTGTTTACCAAAACATACAAACTTTTTATGTACTTACTTATTAATACACTTGTTCGCTTGCCAACTCCCGCTAAAAAAGTGATGGGAAAAGCATAAAGTGATGGGCAAAAAAAAAAGGAAAACCATCGATAGTGAGAAAAAACAATCGACTTTCACGAAATTTTGAGACAATCGATACTATCGATATTTCCATCGATTGTTCTCCAGCTCTACCAAGAAAGGTTCATGATCGAAATGGCTTTATTAGTGGATATCCAAATGCAGGGGTCTGGCAACACAAACAGTGGCAATACAGCTCGAAGATTTTTCGAATAATATGAATTGTCTGTTGAAATAACTGGCGTAAATGAAAACTTAATAAGAAGACTTGGTGTGATTTTACGTAGTGTGGCTTCAGGATATGCCATAAATATTGACAGCTTTCGTGAGTACGCCTTACAAACCGCAAAAATGTTTGTAAGTGAGTATCCTTGGTACTACATGCCAAGCTCGGTACACAGAATACCGGAAGAAGCCCTGTAAAACTTCACCCACACATACAATGGAGGATTTGATGAACTCATTACTTATATCTTCAGACCCCCTAATAAAGAGTTTAAGCAAAAGTCCGTCTCGCCATTCAAATAATGATATTTTTTTGGATGAAGAGGTAAAAAATTAGACAAGGAGTTAAAATTGCAAAAATCAGAAAAATTTTCTTCATGCAGAAAAATAAATTTTATTTAGAAAACAAAATTATTAGAAATATAAGAAATTAAGAAAATAAAAGCTTGTGACTTAAACCAATATGGTATAATTAAAAAACAATTTTAATTATTTTTGTTATTAAATTTGAATGTATTTTTATTGGAATAAGAAATTAACACAATATTTTTAAGTTTTTTCATAATTTGGTCATTGAAATAAACAAATTCAAATTATACTACAAAGTTGCATCTTTGACAAAATAAAAAACCTCAAATAAATTAAAAAAATATATATATTTTTGTTTAACATTGTAGCTGAATCTATATGCACCTAAAAAAATATTAAAATAAGAAAAAGTTTTGCGCTAAAAGGTATTAATTAAACGCTGCTAGATGAGCCTTTTCGACCACTGTGCGTCGGCCGGAAAAATTCTTTTATCCAGTTTGTGGAGGATCGTCCAGTATCTTTGTACTTGAGCCACACAGAGAAAAAAACGGAGCAATACCCGTTTGATATTGTTTGCTCAATTTTGACATATCACTTTTTTCATATCAAATTGACATGAATTCATATCAATATGATACGGATTTATATCAACATTTCTAATTGGTATGATTGGTATCATATATGAATGTTGCAAACTTCTGACTGAAATCATAATACCCTCTGCAAGGATATAAATATATAAGGGACTGAAATTGATAAGCAAAAATACCCGATTAATGACCAGTTTTGGTATTTTATTTTCTCTGTGCACAGAATCTGTATTTATAAGCGAGCCCGGGAGGAGATAGCTCGGGTCATGGATAAAGATTGTAAGCTACAATTTTACACTATTAAATATTTGTAAGCATTTAAAGGTGCGCGCACACTGTGGCGGTGCGGGGCGGTGCGGCATGAGGAACGCACTCTCAAGCGAAGACGTCCGGTCTTAAATATATTTATTATTAAAGATATTTATCATTTTCACATTTTTTAGTTTGAAAATACACGCACTATAAGTGGAGTTCTTGTAAGCTTTCAATTACAGTGACACACAGTTACGTTCACTAGAATGATATTCTCCTCTTTCTTTTTCAATTTTATGAAAATTGTTCTTATAAAATAAAATACTAATATTGATAAGAAAGCCGATCTCATTTGTGCACTCAAATCAGTCTTTCGGAAAAAATTTGGAAAATTGCGTTTGCTCGCTCTGTTTTCGGCCCAAACCTGATGCTCCGACGATTGTCGATAACATCCAAAAGATTCCGAGAATAGAAAATGTCGGCGCGGCAACACGCGGCAAACGCCGCTTGAATGCTCCTTTGAGCATTCGCGCGGTGACGCGCCTCGTCAGTGTGCGGGATTCCATTTAATAACATGCAAGCTCAGTGCACCTTAAAGCTTAGTTTACATCCAACATGATCCAAGACGAATGATGGTAGTTCCTGGTAGAGTTGGACCCCTAGATCACAAAAAAGAAGCCAGCAACATTTTTAGGAAATTGTTGTACGAGTTATTTTAATAAAATTTTTTAGGTATCATACCGTCAGTCGTAGAGTAAAAGGGTATAGTAGATTCGTCGGAAAGTCTTTAACAGGTAAAATGAAGTGCTCCGGCCTCATAAAGTATATATATTCTTGATGGATCATTAGCCGAGTCCATCTAGCCATGTCCATCAGTCCGTATGAACGTTTAGATCTCGGAAACTATGAGAGCTGGAATGTTGGGAGTTGGCATGCAGATTCTTACTGCGCTCCCACAAAAGACTGAAACACTAAAACTCATCTAGCGCAAATATTTTGTGATATTGTGCAAAAGTTTAAATGCCAGTTTGTTCTTATTATCAAAACCCATATGAAATCGGACCAGTCATTAAAATGTTATAACAAAATAATAATCAATACTTTGCAATTCAATCCATATTGTACACCACCTACAGCAAATAATACGTCACCAAGCCGTTAGGGGCGCTATAGGCTAGTTGGCGCTGTAGGCTAGATGGCGCTATAGAAGAAGAATATAGGTGGCGCTATATGCTAGGTGTGTAAGTGAGTTAGAGTGGGCGTGGCACGCTGCTGAAACAAACTAGCGCTGCGTAAGAAGCTCAGGAATCTGCATGCAAAATCCCAATAGTCTAGCTCTTTTAGTTTCAGAGATCTCTGGCGGACATGGCTAGATCGACTCGGTTAGTGATCCTGATAAAGAATATATATACTTTATGGGGTCGGAAACGCGTTCATACGGACCGAACGCTGAGATCTCGAAAACTACAGGAGCTGGAGTGTTGGGGCTACATGCGCTATGTGGCTCTATAGAAAAAGAAGAGAGGTGGCGCTAAAAGCTAGGTGTGTTAATGAAAAATACCGAGTTGCTTTAAGCATGTATCCAACCCTCTCGCACTCCTTTAAACCGAGTAACGGGTATCTAATAGTCAAGGCCATCGACTATAGCGTTTTCTATTGTTTCAATTGCGCTTAAATATTAACAATAAACAATATATAATAAATAAATAATAATAAAATATCAGTTGATTCCCAAACGCATCCACAAGTAATGGGCTGTAGAAATTTTTTACTTTTGAACTGTGCTTCACGTATTTCTTTTATAGCAGTCTACAATAGAGCTGGGAAACTATCGAGAGTGGCCCCTTTCGATATTTTCGATGTTTTGGGAGACCAAATTCGATACCATCGATAGTATCGTTTTATGTACATCTCTTTTTAAAAATTAAAATTATAAGCAACGTCGAATTTTTATTTCGCATTTTATATTTCGTATATCATATTTAATGTATCATACTATCAACTTTAACTATGCTACACTACTAAAACGACTTAAGGAACTTAAAAGAAGATCAACTCGGAGATCAAATCAAAAAACAAAATGATAATTACAGTACATGTAAAATGGGATTAACAAAAATATTACTCTATCCATGTATTTCTTTGCAAGAAAAGAGTATGTCAGCTGTGTCTGCTCTAAGCGAAGCACTGCGTTTAGTAATAATAAGTTTAGCTTCACGCTCAGACTCTGTCAATGTTGCGGGAACACATAAAAATTTTGATATTAAACTTTTTATATTAGAATCATTATGCTAAAGTAGAAGAAAAGTTATTTATGTTTTTCAAATCGGTATATTTACCATCCAGTATTGTAGGGGATCTACATTTTTATACGCATGCTTTATATTAACATGTTGTCGAAGGCCAACGATTGCATCTACCCTTTTTTTTTAGGGCGGGTTTAAAGTGGTGGTGGTGGGTTAATATTACTAATTTATTTATATTTATTATATTAGATAAATAAATATTAATAAATATACATTGTTTATAAAAAAGAAATATATTTACCTTTTCTTTTCAAATTCACTATATATTTATCAATGTTTAGAGCCATAACCAACGTCCAATTAACGCTAATCTAGAATGTGTTTTAATTAGAAAATACATAATAAATAATTTTTTACATTTTGCTTACCCAGCACCATCGATAGCGACTATAAACTATCGATGGTGGCCGAGAAAGTTAAACATTCGATACGTGGATAGTGCCATCGATAGTTTCCCAGCTCTAGTCTACAACTCGGCGGATGATGCAAGGTGTAAATAGAAGCTTTGTCGGACGTCTTGAATTGTTAGCTTCTTATTTTTCGCCTTTGTAACCACTTTACGAGCTTTTGCTTTTAGGATGGCATGTAAAATTGTACGAGTTCCAATATTAAGTAGATCTGCAAGCAAACACTTATAAATATGATAGACCTTAACAGAGTAGGAAAACTTACCGTCGTCAATTAAATCCTTTTTCAAATCGTTAAGTACTTTGAGGCTGTAATTTTCCTTTACTCTATCTCGTGCTAGCTTCAGAAAACTTGTACTTGTCAACGACCATTGAGTTTCCGAATTAACGATATCTGGATATTTCAGTGTACGTCTCTATTTATTTAATATCTGTCCGTATGAACGCTGAAATATCTGAAACTATAAAAGCTTGAAAGTTGGCTTTTGGCATGTACTCGTATATTCTTAAGCTTCTTGCGCAGCGTAAGTTTATTTTAGCAGAGTGCCAAATACTATTTCTCCTGTACAAATAAAAGTAAATAAATGAAGCGTTTTAAAGTTTAAATTACACAGACCACAAAATTTAACTTTGAATTGAAATTTCCACGAACCATTTCTAGTTTTCCAAGATATTTGGGTGCTACTGAGTAAAAGTCCCATACATACTTTTTTTACATCACCCACAGTTTCCGCTTAAAATACAAAAGTCCGATGTTTGCTGACAAATTATATTGCCCATTGGACATACATATCTTAAA